AGAAAGGACAAATGAGATTTTGATAGAGATGGCACTGAATCTGTAGATCAATTTGGGGAGTACTGCCATTTTCACAATACTAAGTTTTCTGATCCATAAATCTGGGATGTCTTTCTATCTATTTAGATCTTTAATTTCTTTCAATGATATTTTGCCATATCCAGTGTATGAGTCTTACACTTCTTTTGTTAAATTTATTCCTAAGTATTTTATTCCTTTTGATGCTGTTGTAAATGAAATTGTTTTCCTAAATTCATTTTTGAATTGTTCATTGCTAGTGTACAGAAATACAACTGAAATATAAATACTCCAATCTTTTATCTTACAATCCTGATCAACTTTATTTATTAGTCTAACAGGGTTTGCTTTTTTTGTGTGGATTCTTTGGGATTTTCTACATGTAATCATGGCATCTGCAAATAGAGATAGTTTTACTTTTTCTTTTCCAAGATTGATGCTTTTTATTTCTTTTTCTTGCCTAATTGTCCTAGCTATAACCTACAGTACAGTACAATATAGTATTGAACAGACATCTTTGTCTTGTATAATATTAGCTGTGGATTTTTTGAAGTTGCCCTTTATCAAGCTGAAGTAGTCCTCATCTATTGTATGTGTTTTTCTTAAATTATGAAAGGGTGTTAGATTTTGACAAATGCTTTTTCTGCTTCTATGCTTAATATAATATTAATATTATATTAAGTATAATATTAGCTGTGGATTTTTTGAAGTTGCCCTTTATCAAGCTGAAGTAGTCCTCATCTATTCTATGTGTTTTTCTTAAATTATGAAAGGGTGTTAGATTTTGACAAATGCTTTTTCTGCTTCTATTGAGATGATCATATAGTTTTTGTCCTTTACTTTATTAATATGGTATATTATATTTACTGATTTCTATATGTTAAACTAACCTTGCACTCCTGGGATAAATCCCACTTGATCATGGTGTATAATCCTTTTTATATATTGCTGGCTTCAGTTTGCTAGTATTTTGAAGAGGATTTTTATGTCTATATTCATAAAACATATTGATCCATTGTTTTCTTTTTTTATCGTTGCCTGGTTTGGGTATTAGGGTAACACTGGCCTCATAGAGTAAGTTGGAAAGTTCCCTCCTATTCTATTTGTCACATTCATTCTTACATGAAGTCTGTGCTCATGCCATTCCTGGTCTGAAATGTCCATGCCTTGCCATTTAGCCACTTCAAATCCTGCTCATCATCTAGTGCCAGCTCAAGGGCTCTTCATTCCTGACTGCTCCAGTCCCAGAGTGAGCTCGCTCTTCCCGGACCCCCTTCAGTTCTCACTGTGTCGAAAGTGTTATAGCTGTGCATGATATAGTAAATGCTGGGTGTTAGAAACTGGAAGCAGGACAAGTGGAGTCCCCGTAAGTAGGAGAGCCTCAGTCAGGCAGCTGAAGTCCAGAAGACACTTGAGCCCGGTGACCCAGGACCAGCAGGACAGCTCAGGGTCATGTGATAGCTCCCTATCACATGGCCCTGAGGGCTGCAGCCATCTTAAGAGGCAGAATAGTGGATGGTTAAGAATAGAGTCTTCACTGCTTGAATAGCGAGCGGCTCGGCAACTTACTAGCAAGTCACTCTCTAGCCTTAGATCTGTCATCTTTGAAATGGGGATAGTAATGTCAGTCTCAGAGTATCTTGATAAATGTTACATGAGTTTATTTATACAAAACACATTGCATTAAGTTCAGTAAGTGGCGGCCTTCACATGTGCTACAGGATATTCTCTACGGAAAAAAAAAAGTTTTGTGGTTAAAGGAATCTTGAGAATGTTGTATACTACACCCCTCTCCTTGCAGATTCCCAGGGTACATTAGCATAGTAAAAGCTCTCAAAAGTCCTATGTAAAGGATGCTATTTAATTTGTTTTGGCCCAGAAATTTTGCCAAAATGACCCTTTCTCCCTTTTTAAATTGAATATTCATTTAGCACACTTTGGGAACACACAGTATTAGTCATATCTAATTAATAAAGGAAGTCACATTAGGTTGTTAAAAACTGATCATGTTTTACTATTCTGCTTTTCTCATGGCCATGTATAGTTTAAAAGCAGCAGTCTAGGAGAAATGAAGACTTCTAACCTAAAGAAAGAGCAGAATGCTTTAAAAGCCCAAAGGAAATGAGAAATTTTAGGCAGAAGGAGAAGATCAATAATGAGCTATTTCTAGCCATAGAGACATTTCTAGAATTAAAAAGTTCAGCTCCTTTAAATTCCCACCCAGTGCCGAAATTCCCCTTTATCAGTCCCAACCCCTGCCAGCACATACTCTGCCTCTCCATTTTTAGGCAGCTCTAGTAATTAGGAAATTCTCCCTCACATCGGGCTGAAATTTGCTTCCTTAAAAACTCTACCCAAGATCACTTTAACAGAATTTTATGTTTTAGTTAGAGCTGTCCATTTTGGAGATAGCAAAAAAAATGCACAAAAATTTCGTGAATCATTACACAATGAAAGTAACACATCCACTGATAAGAATTGTTAAATATAACATCTTTCATTTTCTCCATCTGTAAATAGGACAAACAATCAGAAGTTCAGCTATACTGTAAGCAACAAATGTAATCTTTACCTCATGGGTGGAAGTACATGGCAATTGTCGATTCCCAAGAAGAAGAGGGGAAAATATATTTTAAAGGACTTTTATTTTCCTATCTTTTTAAATTTAAAAACATTGTTTTGAAATTCTTCATCCAAAGCTTATCCTTTCAGCTTCCTTTATTATAAAAACAAGTATTAATTAAAATACAGACATGTCTCATAAATGTAGGTTTATCAATAAGAGTCGCTAATACGAACAGGTAACATTACCTGTATTTTACAGGAATGTAGCTGTTTGACCCAATGTGGACTTTTCCAAGGCTTTGTAAAACTTAAAACCTTAAGGAAACTCCAAGAGGTAAATGGAATAGAATTTAACTGGGGAAAGAACAACCAAGACCCAGGCATAATTCAATAAGAAATCAGGGGCGTGGCAAAACCAAAAAAAGGATGAGCTGTGTTTTCATATAGTCCTTCCAAAGGAGAACTTTCTAGACTATATTTTGATTTTGCATTAAATAACTACTTGGTCACATTTTAGTGTCTGTACCTCATTCTGATACTGTGAGGCAAAAAGGTTCACGTTCTTATTCTACAAATGAAAAAACTAAAGTAAAATCAAAACTGATTCATACTGGACAATACTCAACTATGTGTCGGTAGTGACATCCCAGCGACTGGGTGGGTTCAGTGCTAGATGAGTTTTCCTTTCATTGAAATAATTTCCTTCAGTTAAATTCAATAGTTTTCTTATTAAAGACAATGGAAAACAAATACAGGTCTGACAAGGAGAGAGTCAGTATTAGGACTAACAAATGCTGTCGGTGAACACTACAGAGCTCAAGCACACCACATGCCTGAGGATTTTGTAATTTGTGCTCAACGGTAGTGCCTATTAGAATGTGTTTACTGACACACAGCACAGAGGATGTTTTTGTCCTTGTCTTTGAAACACGGTAAGAATATCACAGATTATGTCATCTATTCCTTCAACATGTACAGTAAGTTCTTACTTAACATCACATAGTCAGTCGGTTCTTAGAAACTGCGACGCATAATGAAACCAATTTTACGATAAGCTAACTGATATAAGCAAGAGTTAAGTTCCATATTTCTGGTTATAAACACATCACCAAACTTCTAAAGACCCCAAACACTTCTAATATTAAACACTGAAATAAATGTGAGCTCTACATACATTTTTAAAAGATTACTAAAAACAAGTAAGATCATTCTGTTTCAACTCACTTATTCCAGTTCAGGGTCGTGAGTGGCAGAGCCTATTCCGGCAGCCCAGGGCATAAAGCAGGACCTGGACAGGACACCACCCATTGCAGGGCGACCTGCACACACCCCCACACTCACTCAGACTGGGACAATGTAGCCACGCCAGTGCACCTAACATGCACACCTTTGGGATGTGGGAGGAAACCAGAGTTCCTGGAGAAAACCCACCCAGACACGGAGAGAACACGCAGACCCCTCACACACTGACCGGTAGGTTCTTCCTCATCAATGCTATAATGAAACCATTTTGAAGGAAAAGTTATTCAGGGACCTGCTGCACTGTATTAGGACAACGTACGGAGTGCCAGGCATTCATAGGAAATATTTTTTGAGCACCTAAGTTAAGGCTGAATAAAACTTGGTCCTTGACTTCATGGAACTGACAGTTGTGTGTGAGAGAAGCAAATCAATAATTTCCATAGAAAGGGACAAGTGCCTGCCGGAGCTAGGTACGTGCTGCTAGAGGAACATAGGCAAGAGCAAATGGATCAGACTGGGGAGTGGGTGAGGGCTTCTCAGAGGCACTGACTTCTAAGCTGTCAGTAGCAGAATTTAACCATATCTGAACTCTGACTTCAATTCCCAGCACCCAGGTGAGAAATACCTCCTGACCCTGCTTTTCTGAGTTCTTGACACTGTCATGGCCAGATTCAGTGCCTGTGTAGGTTCTAAAAGAGGGAGAAAAAGAGGGAGATAGGAATACAGAAAATAAAGAGCAGACGTTGAAAGATCATTGCAGAACGTTCTGGAATTTGCTAGAGATGGCCCAAGGGTATGAAAGTGACCATCCTGTGCCTGAGCAATCTGCATCCTCGACATGGGTGTAATATCTAATTTATGACTACCCTCGTCACCAAAAAATAGGACAATCAGAGGAACCTTATTGAGCCAAGCCAGTGATACGCTGTCTTTTACCATCAATGGTAGAAGCAAAGGCATTGATCCCAATGCTCTGCTAGAATGTGAGGCCGGACTCGTGTGTCAGCTCTCCAAGGTGACTTTTCCACACAGAACGCACCAAGTACCCCAAGTCTTCCACCTTCCCAAAGATAGAACACAGCTGTGATTCCGCTCCTGCCTCCTTTGGGATTCCATTCCCTACCTGGGAACACGGCCAAAGATTTGAAAAAAAAAAAAAAAGTGTGAGTTATTACCTTAGACTGTGCTCGAGGGTCTCTTCATCAGAAGAGAACGTCCCATTGCTGACACTCTGGGGAAAATGACTCTTC